AAATATTAGTAAATAAATTCTTTCTCTCCTTATTTGAATGATTTTATACAATTTTGGTAAGTTTTTTTCCACACTGTCAAGGAGACCGTCTAGATGTTGACATTGTTGTTGACATTGCAGGGAAAAATTTACCAAAATTGTATAAAATCATTCAAATAAGGATAAAAATAATTTATTTGCTAATATTTATGTGGCTATCACTCATGCCACATGTGCACCGTAGACATTATAGCATTGTAGATGCTCTTAGCTTTGATTGAGTTGAAGTCTGATGAAACGAGTTGAAAATTAACATTTGACAATGTCATGAGATACGAACCACCAAACCGTCCAGGTTCATTAATTGATAAAGAAATTGAGAATAGACAATACCGTATATATGATACGAGTAATTGACAACGCCATGAGAATTCTAGCTGCCAAAGAGTCTAGATACATTACTTGAGAATGGGAACAAAAGAATCACATCCTAATGCTTTTGATTTTTTGGCCCTGTTTGGCACTCAGCGGTTCGCAGTTAGCGGTTAGCGGATTTGGTTAGCGGGTAGCAAATGGCGGATTGGATCAGCGGGTTTGACCAGCAGATTAGCTTGTCGGGTTGCAGAAAGATGTTTGGTAATTTAGCGGTTTGCTTGTAGCGGATAATATGTAAAAAGACAAAAAAGGACATTTAAAAATTTTTGCATGTTATTTTTTTTGTTTTGTTTGATATGAAGTTATGATTGTACTAATTTATACGATAGTATGTAAATAATACTATACCAATAAAAATAATGATAAAAGATATGAGTAAATTATTTTAAAATTAACTAGATAAAAGTATGACAATAAAAATGCATCAATTAACTACACCACTATTAAGATGTAATACAATTCTTAAAAAAAAAAGTAATACGGTGAATTGCAATATTTGTAATATTAAGAATAAAATCCCTATGATATCAAACTAGAAGCAATGCTATCACGAATGATCGCCATCTGATGATTTCTCATTCCATCATCACCTTGTGTAGTACTAGCTCGAACATCTGGAATAACGTCAGGGGGTATAATTGATGAGTTATCTTTAAAAAATAAGTTATCATCACCAAATTCAACTAGTTGAGTAGTCAAAATGAGTTATCTTTAAAAAATGGCTATTCCAAATAGACAATCTTCTACTCCGTATTTGCTAAAAGTTGCATATAGCAGCCTCTAGGCACATGCACTTCATTCTTTGTTTTCGTTTGCTTTTCATCTTTAGATTAACCAAATTTAAGTATGAAACTATGAAACAGTTAAGTAATTTTGCAATTAAAAAAAGAGACTGTTTTTTACTTTTGCTCAACATTTTGTATACAATTAGCAAACTGTTTTTTTTGTAATATAGCAGCCTCTAGGCACATATTGCATGCTACTATTTTTGGTAAGTTTTCATAGAAGTTTTCAGTTAACAAGGAATAAAAGAGAGAGCACTTCACGAAAGAAGCAGCAGTAAGAACAGAGCATCGCATAATGAACAAAATATAAAAGGAGCAATTGCTATCTTATTCTTATTGACCTGTTCGTACATGCAATAGCCTAAGGTAATACATACAGATTTCACATGAATCAAATAAGGAAATACAGTAAAGAGTTCTACTCATGTTCAGAGGCTTCTCCGCTAGATTTCTGGCAAGTATACAAATCAAAGCAAGACCCACACACACTGGTTTAGAGGAGAGGACTAACACATACCTTTGAAGAGAGAAAGCACAACCGTCTTGCTGAGGAGAGGAAGCGTTGAACGAAACTGAGGAGAGGAGCGGCCGAAACAAAAAAAAGGAAGATATGCGGCCTGGTGAGAGGGCAATGGCATGAATTCAATAATTATTTCAAACCGCCGAAACCTAAACGCTTCGATTTCCAGCGTTTTGGTTTTCGGCGGTTTCATCTAACACGCTATGCGGATCCTCTGTTTAACCAAACGCACAAAATTAGCGGATTTGGCAGTCAAAACTGCTGAATGAGTCAATCCCTCTATTTTTTGGCGGATCCGCTGTTAAACAAACGCAGCCTTTATTTCCCATTTATATTTAATATTTAAAGTTTGTTTGATAAAACTTAAATTTATCAATCTGCTCAATGCATAATTATTAAAAATCTGTAGAATAATAAAATTATATTCAAAGTATATTAGAGCAATTAATAAAATGAAGAAAATATATATTAAGATTAAGAAAATTACAATCGTTTTCTTTCATCCAACTAAGTATTTTAAGCTGGTTTATTTTGTTTATCTCATATTTTAGCACGTCAAATAAAAATTATGTCAAATATCTACTATCTTAGTATAAATATTCACCATTTCAAAAAAAAAAAACACCACTAGAAAAGGTGTCCTTTTTTTAGGCTTTCAGGAGCAGCTAATACTCTAATAGGACTCTCACCAATAGTGTTATACTCTCTCCGCCCCCCACTTTGTTCTGTTTTACCTTTTTCGTGTATCCCATTAGGTTTATCTCATACCATATGTGGTAATGTTTGAGTGGTTATAATGCATTCTTACTTTATTCACACTTTATTAATTCAATATCAACCACACTATTCCACTTTTTATTAAAAACAACAACACACCCCTTTGTCCCAAACTTAGAGGGAGTGAGGTAGTAGTGAGTATTACTACGGATTTGTTATGATTGTAGTACATAACAGAAGCAAAAAACTTTTGATGTTGTTATAGAACAACTGCATGTCCGCATAAAAAAGTATCTATTTTTTTGGGGTAATACACTTTTTGCTGCAATGAGATTCAAACTTGTAACCAAGGCTCAAAATCCAAACCGAAAAGTGTGCGGCACACACACAAAAGATGGCTATCGAAACTGAAAAATGACTGGTGAATCGTTTTCCAAACACATACAAAACGGCTCATTTTTACATCATAAGATGAGTTACTGTCACCATCTATTTCATTCAAAAATGACATCTATTTCATTCAAAAAGTAACTACTCCGTTTTGTTTATTACGCAGTAAAATTTAAAAGTGAACTTCTCAGTAATTGTGAAACTAGTCTTGGACTCGGGTCAGGCCGCCCGGCCCGGGAACCGGCCCGGCCCGCTACTGTGTGAGCCCGGCCCGGCTAACTAGTTATGGTTCCGGGCCTAGGCCCGGTACCGGGGGTTAGGGCAGGGAGGTCCCGGTTCAACCCACTCTTTGGAACCGGCCCGGCCGGTCCCAGGCCCGGTTCGGGTCTTTATTTATTTTTATTTTTTCGAAAAATTCACACGAATAATCTCATCTATTAAGAGTCTTCTCTTATTAATCTCACATATACATTATTCCAATATAATCTAAATTATATAGGGTACCTTCCAAAAACAACCCCATGACTTGAACAAACCACTTCAGCCGGTCATATGGCCAGATGTCCTGTTTTAATTGGACTTCTCAATGTTTTATTATCCGTTTATTTCTTTTCTCTTTCTTTTATTTTATTCTTTTTCGTTTTTTTTTTCTCTTCTTCTTTCCCCTAGTTTTTCCCCACCCTGCCTTCTTCTTTTCTCCACCCCCTCCCTGCACTTTCCCTTCGACTTTCTATTTTCGTTTTTTTTTCTTTTCTCCTCTCAAGCTCCCACTTTCCCTACTCCTTTCTCCTCTTCTCTTTTCGTCCTTTGTCATTCTGCTCATCTTCTCTTTTTGTCCTTTTTCTTCTTTTTGTCCTTTTTCTTTTACTTTTTCCATGGCTGCTCACGGATTCTTTATTCACGAATTCATGTCCAAATTTTGATGTTGAAACATAAACCCAGCATATCCCCTTCAAATCAAAATTTTGATGTTGAAACAGAAACCCAGCACATCCACTTCAATTTCGATAAAAACTTGGAGTTATCGACCAATTTTAATGAGATAAACGGACACGAAACAGTATTAACCGGATCTGCAATTCAATCCTTACAGTGGCCTAGTGAGCTACTGCTTTGGACCCAGGAAGAGAAGAAAACGAGCTTGGCTTTCTCACACGTGACACCAAACCTCCTTCACTATCCTCCTTGACGTATTCTTATTCTTTCAAATTAAAAGAACTAAAAACAATTATCCTAACAAATACTGCTTTGGAACAACTGGAGGATCGGAGGAGACTCGGGAAAAGATAAGTGGATTCCGTATCTCCTAGGGGAGATAGCTCAGAGGCGGGAGCATGCAGAGGAGAAGCTGGAGTTTTATTCCATTCAAACTCATAGTCGAGAAGAGAAAAGCCGGCAGAGTCATCTGTAGTAGAAGAATTGCGACGTATAAAAGGTTTTACCTATTAAACAAGTTCCAGGTCACCTTGGAGTGTTTTGAGAAGGAGTTGAGATTATTCCGGAATTACACATATATGGGATTAATATAAGAAGAACGTCAATAGGTTGGATTATTAATGTGAATTTTTCCTTATTCTTTTTTCATTTTTTGGGGTTTTTCCTGAGTTGGGTTGGGTGTCTTGGGGGGGGGTTGGGGGGTGGGGGTCGGGGGTTAATTAGAAAAGAAAAAAATACTTGGACCCGACCCGGACCGGACCCAACCCGGGCCAGCCCCGGCCTTCAACCCAAACATCAAAAGCCCGGGTCCATGACTATGCAAAACATGATAATGCACGGGTCAAAAACGCATCCACATGCCACTATGCCAGGCACGTGAGAAAACTTGGACTCTTAGAGACGAATCTTTTTTGTTGATGCAGAATTGCAGATGCGCAATTCGTTACTTAAATAGTTAAATGACACTAGTTGCAGATTTCCAAGAGACTACAAATTTCAACATAATGTATACCTCATATAAATGGTGCTGGGACAGCACAAAAAAATATTTAGGAAAGTTTTAACACAAACATTGGTGAGAATCCAATGCCCCTAAAACCTAAGGGTTCCTCTTGTAATGAAGGGTGAGTCGGGGACTCAGGGAGTCAGGGCCTAAGATCATTGTAATGAAGATGTCATGTTCATGGCAGAACATAGTAATACCTAATACTCCGTAAAATTTAATAGTTGGGTCAAACTTTGATACTCCGTATCATATTGAGATTTAAAGAATAGTCAATGTGGTGTGGTGCTTTTAAGTTTTAACACCTTTTTGAGAGGTTTCCATGATTTGTACAAAAATGGAAAAATGGGGAAAATGGATTCATATTTTCCAGAGTTTTCGTGCATCATAATATGCCAAGAAATCAAATACTGCTAGTGCTACCAACCCGAAATCTCAGATTCTGGAAGGTAACCCCAATATCAGTTGGTTCAACTGTTCAAGTTAAGTTCACCTTTATCAAACCAATCAGTCCATCAAAATATGGCCAACAATTGGATTTTATCCTTGTTGTAATAGCTTTGTTAGACAAGGTGAAGTAGCCCACAATGTTTATAATTCATAAAGTAGTGAAGATGTTGACACGAACACGAAATTTTCAGCTCATTTCTGAAGGTCGATACCTGCCTCGGGCATCATGCAACTGCCGCAAATGACGTCTTTTAATCCCTTCACGAAACATAACACTTGCGGAACCTTTAATAACTTCAATAAGGGGAAAAGTTTGATCTGAATGTGTCTCAACTGGTTTAATCTTCAAGTATTGTGCTGTCTTTGCCTGAACTGATAAACCCACCAAATTAGCCAATAGAATGAAAATCAATATTTTGCTGTAAGATGTAAGAAACTAAGAAAGTTTGGTAATTATATATAATAAGAAAAATTATTCAGTTCGTAACCATGACAGATCGGCTTAGGAGAAAGTTCTGACCATGATATAGGGGGTGTTTGGAACTGATTCTCATTCTTCTTCTTTTTTAAAGAAACAGAATCAGGATCAGTTTTCAGAAGTTGGTCACCCCCATCATCTAAAAAAACTGATTCTAGGAGTAAATTAGAGCACCAGAATCACTTATGCACTTTCAGCCAAACACTCCAGCTTCTGATTCTGCTCTTTTAGGGAGCAGAATCAGTTTTAAGAATCAGATTAAAACACCACCATAATCTTGACTGTCTTTTAATTCACTATCAATCTCATATGGAGTATATAATTTGCAAATAAAAATCAAGGGTTAGAAGTATTACTTGATGTTCAGACATCATTTTAACCCATTTTAATTACACCTTTTGGTTTCCATAACCAAAATTATTTCAGGCACTTAAGATAATAGAACATTTTTTAACATTATTGTTTCCATGAATGATGTAAAATTGTGGGACTGTCTTCCCATTGCTTATTTTCTTGGGGTGATTATGTTCTACCAAGCCAATACATATGTATACACGTGATGCATAGCACTAATATACTTTTGTTTGGGGGTTTGTACCTATAAATCTTTAGCATCTCAGTAAATGATCAGAGTTGGTATGAAAGGCGTTTGGGATTAGGAAGGACAGCTGACAAATACCACTTTCATCAGGGTGATTCGTTCAAAGGATGTAAAATCACTTAAAATACCTTTGTATCTTCCTGGAATGTCAAATGATATGGTTTGTATTTGGTTGTGAACTTTTATATCAAAAGAAGAAAAATAGTTTATATTTGAAATATGTGGGACATATTTGAAAACTAATGTTACAAGTTACAACACTCCAAGAAGGTTTGCTTTTAAGTTAGTTTTTTTATCCCGGTAGGCAAACCACCCATCGGTGGGGTAAATGCCGGGGAGCATTTACCATATTTTATTAAAAATAAGAAAAGATACAGAAGGTGAGGGGGACTAGACCAATACCCCACCAGAGAAGGCATACCTTCTCTTATATTGCTATATTATTGACATGTAGGCAAATTCAGTAATATTAGGTAAATCGTTGTGGGGTGAGTATTCATCAGATTATATTAGAACATTAAATTTCTTAGGCTTCGTTGCATTATTCTAAGATTTTCCACTTTTGACATTAAAATTAGATAAATAAATTTTCTCAAGGCAATCTTAAATATGTGGGACTAAATCACTGCATTTTTTCGTTCACAAAATTACAAAGTCAAACCGGTGAGATTCGAAAGAACATATTTGACGTCAAACAAAGCAAAGATGTCTCTAACCCAAATAGAAAAAGTTAAGATACCAGAATGTGAAGAAGCAGTGATAGCAGCAGAATCTTTGAGCTCCTCGATTTTTTCAAACAAATATTTGAAGTGTTGTCCAGTCTCACTATCAAATGTAATGCTATTTGTATCGAAACATAATAATGCCTTATCACATGCCTACAAGTTTGAAAGTCAAATGAAACGCAAAAATAATTATCTTAGTCAGATCAATATAATCTTGTTTGCATAAAGTTAGTAGAGATTTAAAGTGCAGCACTGTAAAGTTTACCATTCTAGCAATAGAACAAAAACCATTCTGAAATGAATGTTCTGCAAAGGTGAACCATTCAACACCTGAGACTTGAAGTCTCTGATCACTTGGAGCATTTCGTTCTCTCATGAGCAATGCCTCATATCTCAAGGCCAAACAACTCTGTTTCATGCAATAAAGCAAATTACTATATAAAACGTTACTAGCTTAGTTCGTAATTACAAATATCTAAGCATTATGGATCTAAAAATATTAGAAAGACTTGAGGTGAAGGAATTTCACCCATCTGGAGTGTAACCTTCCTCGGCATTAAATTGGGAAAAGATCATGACTTCTAATTATTTATATAATGGTGCATCGCATAGATAATTTTGGATGTACATAATTACTGTAATAATTTTCATGAATGCAATAAGTAATTTACATGAATAATGGATTATTTTGTTTATCATCGCCTTCTTAATCTTCTGGTCTTGTATAAAGTTCGTAGGACTCCTAAACGTGTACTGAAGTCTTTGTCTTGCACATATACAGTACCTTCATGCTGAATACATATCATCAAAATCAATTCCTCATTCTCTTGACTTGGTTTTACATGGCACCGAGCCCTTAACAATATATTCAAGGTTTTCCGATCTCTTAATCTATCTAGCATATCTTAACCCATCTCTTAGCCTATCTGACCAACCTCCAAAAACAATATCCCCAATCCCAAAGTTGTGATAGACTTGCATACCACTGTCACTATTTGTTACTTAGCATACGACTTATCTTCAAGCATCCATGAGTCCAGAATGGCACAAAGTCACAACCATGGAAGATGATTATAGCCCATCATTACGAATCATACATTTGAAGTTCCTCTGAATGCTACATAAATGTTACCAGTTGTAAATCTGTAAGTGGAACTAAGCAAAACCCTGGTGGCTCAGTTTCTCAGTGTGCTGTGCGCCTGATAGAAACCTCAAAAATCCAGAACAATTTGCAGAAGATTAATAAGAAATCAACTGGAAACTTTATAGATGAGATAAGATCGATTACAGGGGAAACACAGTAACCAAAGCCGAAGCTTCCCAAAAGATAGAGACGGCTAGTCTCAAATCTTCCCAGTCCCAGACAAATGTCCCAAAAGCCTCCTAATTACTCCCACTTTACATCTATTTATACTAGAAACCCTTATTACTAATATTATTATTATTATTACTTCTAATATTATTCTAATAGGTAGGTCCCTATCAGCGCCCGATCTTGATTTTAGTCATCTTACACATACTTTTTAAATCCAAGTGACCCCCCCCCCCCATGTACAGCTCATTCTTAGCATGAAGGTAGCTATTGATTAGATTTATGTTAGTTCGATGTTAACAGTGATTTGTTGCAATGATACTTTTGCTAATTTAAAGGTTTTCTGGTATTTTTCCATCATTTGCAATGGAGCCAAAGATTCACTATTTTTTGGCTTGAGAATATGATGAGATAAAGCAAAATGGCTCACTAAACTATCTGCGCTTCTTTGTTATGAAGTTGCAATCAGTCTATGCTATTTTGGACGCGATTTTCACTATGGGTCATCCGGAAACAGTCTCTCTATGCTTTAGTACAGGGGTAAGACTGTGTACATCTGACCCCCCTTACCCTACTTTAGGTGGGAGCCTTTGCGGCGTTGGGATAATGATAATGATGATGAAAGGTTTTCTGATATGAAGACAAATGCCATAGAATCATCTAGGAGCTTAGACAAGCCCCTATTGTCCACTAGCTGTCTTTTATGTACCGTACCATCATCACATCATCATCATCAATGCCAGTACCTTAATCCCACCTAGTTTGAGTAGTTGGCATTAAATTTATAGTGTCACTTAGCACTATATATTTATGCAAAAAGCATAGTGGCAATATATTGTGCTGGATACCATTTATGTCACAATTTTCGGTATGTGCACATATGTGATACGCCAGTAGGCCACCTGTGAGCTTAGGCACACTCCTTGTGCTTGATATCAACAGACTTGGGCAATCCCCTATCACTCTATTGACTGTCTTTATTTATGTATGGGCCCGTCATCACATCATTGATCATGATCAATATCACTTCCTTAATCTCAAATAGTTAGGTTCAGTGAGATTTGATTTCTAGTGTCAGTTAATTCTATAAGACTGCTTCACACTACATACTTTCCAAAAAGCACAGTGACAATATTTTATGCCAGATGGAATTCATGCTACAACCTCCGTAAGAGGGAATTCTGTGATCAAAATATCAAATTATAAAACCTTCATCAGCATTCATTAATTTCGTATTGAGGAACATATAATGAGAGGACGATGAACGCAGATATTGCATGCTCCATACCTTGCTTTTATTCATTAACATCTCATCTCTCTTGAATCTTGACATTTCACCCATATGCTGATTGGTTGGACAAGGATCCCATTGCGTCTTGACCTCTTGTCCTACCTCAACCTATGTGATCTTCTTAGGGCATTTTCCTAATTGATTGATGCTTTAGCAGGAAAAACAGGGTTGCACGCTTCTCGAATGAGGCCAAGTGCAAAGTTATAGCTTCCACAGGTGCAGTCCTTAACTAGTTAACAATCTATGTCTTGAGCTTCACAATCTACACTTATTGGACAATCTTTTAGTGATACTGTGGGTGCAAAATATATTTGTGCCAAAGCAGGCGTTTGTTAGAAACCTGCAATTCTAGTCTAACAGATCACAGAATTGAATCAAGAACTCAAGGCAACCTTTATTGAAATCTCCTTAGGCAACTGGCCGTAGCCCCCAAATGAAAAGAAAGAGAAGCTCGTCTCTCAATTTCCAACCCCAAGACTAAAATGTGTAAAACAGCCTCTCTACCACTTCTAACAATATTCTATTTATAGTAAGGAAGGCTAACCCGTAGTTATTAGCTCATAACAGACTAAACTAATACAACCCTACTTCCTTCTAGAACACACTTTATTAGAGTATTTATCTCCTCTCTTCAGATTAATAAAGTCTCTATCAAATCTCCCCTCCTGAAAATCCAACTTGCCCTCAAGTTGGACGGTTGGAAATTGTTGTTTGATGCTATGTTCTGTCTCCCAGTATCATTCAAACTCCGGAAGATCCTTCATATGAACCCAGATTTCCCTCTCCGCTGCTGAATTCATTCAGATATTCTTCACTTCCTCAGGCCACACCAGTACTTCACACTCTTCAATTAAACAATTAGGAAGGTCTTGGTAGGAGTTGGCAGGTTTCAATTCCTTCTTCTGCTTCCTCTTCATCCTGGTGCTTCTACCTTCCCAATATCTCACTGGCTTCAGAGCAAAGAGCTTTGCTACTTGAATCTTTATTATCCAATTCTCAGCAGGAAAGAACAGAAGTAAAGACATCGTGGCATAATGCTCCCTGGTGTTGTAAAATTTTCCCAGTGTCTGTATCTCCTGTTGAATTCTTGACTTTTGTTCCCACTTCTTTTCAAAAGAATTGACCTCAGTTTGTTCATGACCTGGCACCCGTTCAAAAGCATATGATTTAAGATCCCCGTTATAATAACATCTCAACATCTTCCCTGGAATCAAATCATACTCATAGAGAGCATCAACAACTTGCTTACAAAGATCTTCATCACAATTCTGCAATCGCTCACATAATGCAAACATACTCTGATGAGTTTCAGCTCTAAATGGATCATAGGGCAGACCAGTTTTAACCTTTTCACGAACACACATACAAACTTCCGCTGTTTGATCAATCAATCTCTTCAAAAAATCCCTAACTGACTGTTGAAAAACTTCATTGATAACTTCATCCAGCCACTTTCCATCACTTTTGACACCGCTAGCAAATTCTGGCCTTAATGAATAATCCATGAGATGCTTTCTGTTGGAAACATCAACTACAACACCTTGATTCGTAAAGTCCAGGTCCACACGGATTGTATTCAACTGGTAGTCAAGAGTAAACTTATCAACCCATCTCAGTCCATAATGTGAGGAGTCCCAACTTGTATAAAGCATCAAACTGCAGCCCTTAGCTTCTATCCCAGATTTGTCATTGAAGTGAGTGAAGATTGATCCTCCAAATGCACAAATCTGTAGATCATTCTTTCCCAATGGCCCTGCTAAGATACTCTGGACTATTATACCCTTTTTACCCACAATAACATAATCCTGACTGTCAGAATCAGCAACATACTTTTCCATAGACACATCATTCACCATCTCTTTTTGAATATTTTTCATAGACATAACCCCTTCCAATCTAGGAATACCAAACATGTTTAATCCTTCCCACAATATGTTTAATGAATGACAATACACCATTTCATTCTTGAAGACATTTGGCCAGTTCATCTGCTGTACAATATGAGAAGAAATATCACCCGCCTGAAGAAGCTTGAACCTATTGATTTCAAGGTCTGACCGGTCCCGATCGTTCTTGGAAACAATCTTACGTCTGGGGAATCCAACCACCGCTCCATCTTCAGGTTGAAGTTTAACTGATGGTTTATCATTGTGTTCCTCTTCTCCCTTTGTGTGCTGCTGAATAGCCAACTCCTGCTGCCACTCTTTGTTTTTCGAATTCATGCAGCGACACACAGTCCTCGACCTTCCTAGCCTACGATGTTGTCGCAGCTTGGGCTTCCCCTTCTCCAGGTTTGAAGGTTTTTCCTTCTCCACTTTTTCGCCCTTTTCTTTCTCCCTTTTTTCGCGTTCCTCTTTCTGCACTTTTTTGCGTTTCTCTTTCTCCATTTTTTTACGCTTCTCTTTCTCCACTTTCTCGCCTTCAACTTTTTCTGTGAACTTCCCCAAGGTTCCGCGCGAATCCTTTTGAGAGTGCGAAACAGTTCGCGACTCTTTCTGCACTTCCTTCTGCGATTTGGTGAGCGACGAACTCTTATGGTCAGATAAACGATGATGACTGGTGTTGCTCGATCGATCTCCAAGTTCCTTGCGAAGCTTTTGCTCTTGATGCGAAGCCTTTTCCGCGATCGTTTTCATTTTTCTGCGAGAAGCCTTTTGTGAGTGCGAATCAGACGAAACAATTCGCGCTCGGTCTCTAGTTCGCCTGCGAGGTTGGTGACCGATCTTGTTTATTCTACTCAACATCTCCGCATCCCAATCATCGAAGGATTGTTGATTTTGTTCGATCTTCTCCTGATTCTTCTCCA